CAACAAAATAAATAATTATTATCTTTATAAAAAAATTATATTATTAAACCAAATATAAATTATTTCGTTATTGTACATAAATTAAATTATAAAAAAATTGAATTAAAAATTTACACAAAAAAATGAGGAATTTCAAATAGTTAATTTGATACTAATATCGATATATTTTGTCAAATTTTTAAGATATCTTCAAACATATATTTTATTCAAAAATAAAAACATTATCATTTTCTCAAAATCACATAAAGCCATATTATAATATCGACTGAGATAAATAAGAAAATGAAATATTAAAATCATGATGTATCTCGCTGCATTGCGCGAGTACGCTTCTAGTAATTAAAAGTGAGGGGGTGTTTGGGATTGCTCATTTAAAACAACTTATGTTTTTTTTTGTAAAAGTGCTTATTAACTTATGTGGTATCAAACCGAAGTTTTGTAAAAAAGTGTTTGGATTAGCTTATAGTGGTACCAAAAAGCAATAAGCTGATAAGTTGTTTTTAGTGTTTGACAAATTTTGCTTATATATGTAAAATGATCAAAAAAATATAGCCTTCCATATTATTGACTTATGGGAGTGTTTGAGATTGCTTATTAACTTATTTGATTTTTTAACATATAAAAATTTATTTTTCATCATTTATAATAATATTTTTGACAAAAATTTATATCAATAAGATTAATAATTTACAAACATTAATAAAATAAAGTTTAAATGATAAACTGGTAATAATAAGTTTTTCATAAGTTAGAAATGATTAACTTATCAAAAACTGTTTCTTATCGGTTTGACATCGATATAAACAGTTTTATTTTTCCTCATCTAAACACTAACATTTAATTTATCATTAATGTCATACTGAAATAAGTCAAAAAAACACTTAAAATAAGCAATCTCAAACGGGCATATAAATAACTTTGAAGCCCAGTGAGTGTTTGGCCCATTGGGTCAAAAGCCTACCAAATATAAATGTATGTTTTAACTATTTCCATTATCCTTTTGCAGCCTCGAAAGAGGGAAACGAAAATGGTGGTACTTGAGTCACTGAACCTCTCACGCTTCTATCTCTCATCTTCTCCAAACCCTCCTCCATTTCTATTGCTTACAAAATCAAACCTTTCGATTCCCACTTCCACCCCCAAATTTCTCTTCAAATCCCCTCTTTTTACACTCCCTCTTCCAATTTCTACTAAATTCCAGGTCTGCTTATCATCAGCAATCCAACAGGAGATTACAGAGGAAGAAGAAGTAGAGAAATTAGAGCAAACCCAGAAAGAAGAAAACAAAAAAAAGCTTTTTGTTCTTAATCTTCCATGGTCTTTCTCTGTTGCTGATGTCAAGAATCTCTTTGGTGAATGTGGAACTGTGGCAGATGTTGAGGTTTAATTCGTATCAGACACATGTATTTTATTGGGTACAATTCGTTTTTGTACAATAATTTGTTCTCTTTTTGGTGATAGATAATAAAACGGGAGGATGGGAAAAGAGGGTTCGCATTTGTTACAATGTCTTCTGGGGAAGAAGCTGTTGCTGTTATCAAGAAATTCGATTCTCATGTAAGTTCCTCTGTGGTTTTTCTGCAGTTCTAAGATTGTTCCATGCAATTGTCCTTTACTTGTTGTAATTTAAGCATGAATTTAAGTATTCAAATTAAGCAATACAATGTAGGATGCAGAATTTTGGTGCTACACCATAGAAGTTGTCATGACAGCCTCATTTGACCTACATTGATAGTCAAAATAGATTTTTTTGGTTGTAATTTGGCTAACTTTTTTGATGCAAAGTGTTCTGCTAAATCACATGGAGTCGTAGTTGTTAAAAGGCCGTCTAGGCTCATGAGGCTCAAGGTCTTGGGCTTTTTTAAAGTCGAGGTTAGGCGTATTCACGTGGCTCACTAGGCCCTGTGCCTTGGCTGAGGCACGTTGCGGGACAAGGCGCGCCTCGTAAAGAGTTATTAAATACCAAGTCAAACCCCAATATTAAATAAGTTTTCTCATTTTCGAGACGTCTTAAAAGAAAGATATATTAAATAGATGACATAAGTCAAACCTCGATATTAGATACCTGGTTCTTATAACTTCAAGCCTCTTTCTCTATAAATACCCGAACCTTAAAACTTCTCCCTCATGGCTCACGCTTTAAACCCTTCTCCCTTCAACCTCTATTGAAATATTGTTGGTTGCGGCACTGGAGGCTTGTACTTGCTACATATTTGAGTTGCGTGTAACTGTGTGTATATGTATATATAAACCTTTATTATGTAAGATGTGCCTCACATTCCTGAGGCCGCTTCACGCCTAATGCCCTGTCGCTCCTTTGTGCCTAAGTGCGCCTTGAGCCTTCAACAACTTTGCATGGAGTATAGTTTTTAATGAATGTGGTTGTCTAGTTAGGTGTCACAGTTCAATGATTTATATGAGAAATCAGTTCTTCAAAATGTTAATTTGACCTCAAAAGTCAAACCATCACATTGTCAAGAATGACGCAAGTATTGTTTTAAGATTCTTGAGTTCTGTGGGCTCTTGCACTTCTAAGCTAGATTTCTACACAGTGGTTGAGGTTCAAGAAAATGTTCAAGAAACTAACATAGAAGGGTTGCACTTGGGCTGAACCATTGGGTCACCATTCCTAACCCACATCAAACCTCAAAGACTGCCGCTGAATCGTACAAGCTCATAAGGACATGAAAGTTGATAAAAGTTGCTACATTTATTTTGGTGCAGGATCTTTTGGGTAGGATTATCAAGGTTGAATATGCAAAGAAATTCAAGAAACCTACACCTCGGTCTCCAGGTTCACTGCGGCCAGGTGAGACACGCCATAAGCTGTTTGTGTCAAATCTTTCGTGGAAAGTAAGGGCTACACATCTTAAACAATTCTTTGCCGACTTCCATCCTGTTTCCACCAGAGTTGTTTTCGGCCCTTCAGGAGGTTCTGCCGGATATGGGTTTGTCTCATTTGCCTCAAAGGAGGAAGCAGAATCTTCAATATCAGCCTTGAATGAGAAGGTAACTAATTTTCGCTCTTGTTTCAAATGAATTATCTGTTTATGTTGTGTTTTTCATACCACAAAAATCCCTTCTACGGGCTTCAAAGTCTCAACCTTTTACTGCCAATCATTTCATTTATCAATAAAGATCGCTCCTTTCTGCAGGAATTGCTTGGGCGGCCGATCATCTTAAAATTTGATGAAAAATAAAATGAAAAATCTGAAACCAACGAGGAAAACCCTCGAGAGGAAGAACCTGCTGCATCATAGTTGTGGTTGAGTAGATTTTGGTGATAGAAGATCAATGAAGTTTGTGTTTAATTAACAGCAGTTAATGATAGTAATCTTTTGTGAGTTTGTTGATTGGTTGGAATAGGCATATATACTCATACATGTTGTGTAGGGTTCCATGAGTGATCCAGTATTTCTACCTGCTTAAGATGTCGTGTAGGTGTTAACAGATCTTATTGCTTCAAATGATAGGCTGAAATTTGAAGTTGGATGTGTGTCAATAACAAGTTATATAGGGATGTGTCTCATTTTAGCACTTGATTAGAAAGTGTACGACCTAGAATTAAACGACAAATTAAAACCGTTTGTTTTAGCCATTTGATTTGGTAATAATACAAATATATCTGATTCAACACTTAAAGTAATTTTTGGTCATAGCCTTATAATAATTATATCCGAACTACTGCTTTTGATATTCGGATCTGATATAGGTATTGTTATTCGACCTAAGTTCTTACAAACCGGATTTTATGTTTGGATTCCATCTAAGAACTCGGATCTCAATACTTAGGATTAATACTCGGATTATCATTTGGGACTTGGTGTTTGGCATCAAATCTGCGATTTTGATATTTCTTCGTCCGAATTAAAGAATCCAAATGTAACTTTTCATACGTTCATTCAAAGTTGATTTTCAAGAGTCAAAATATTCTAATATTTTGTATCATCCGAATCTTTACACTTCATAAGTAGTCTTGCTGGAATCCGATATGTAGCTTATGTTTTTATAAATTTTCTTATGTAAAAGTCTTATAATTATCTATGTTGATCCAAGAACAAAAAACTTTCAACGAAATCAATGATCAGTTGAAGTGATGCTAAGATCGTCACCAAAGCAAATTGGATTGTCATCTAGCCAGAAGAAAATCAATAAAAGATAAAGTCAAAAGTAGTCTGACATATATTACTTCTGGAAAATCAAATTTGGAGTGCAAACTTATCCAGCAAGTTTGGTTTACCAACTCTACCAACTTTCATCATCTTATGGGAAAATACTTGACCTGTCTGACAAAGTAAGCTAAAACACTGTTTTATTAGCATCATATTTTCCTTACTGTTCCCTCTGCATACAGAAGAATGAGTTAGGGTTAACAAATATCTACATCAACTTCAAAGGCTAAAATGAAAAATACAAACATGTATTGATCAACAACTCAGATAAAGATATGCGTTCAAGTTGGACAACAATATTTAATGCATTGATGGTTATAAAAGTTATCATTGTCATATGTAGCAACTCACCCATTTTGAAAGTAATTCCAAGTGATATTTTCTTAGGTAAAAAGCAAAAAAATCAATGTCAACCATCTGAATAACTATCTCTATACTTCATATATGAAATAATGCATGGTTCTCTTACTCCTTCAGATCTGAAATAATTAATATATCATGTTCAAGTTTAAGTTCAAGTTCAAGTTCAGTTGTTAGAACTTTTAATCTATCTGGATAAAAACCAGTTGACCTAATTTTTCACGTCCTATTTTTGTCCACTAATTATAGAAAATACACATAATCTGAAAAATAATATTAATATGAATTAAATAAATTTAAAATAAACAAAAAATTAATATGTTTTAATTTTATTGATAAAGGTAGGATTTTAGGCCATACCATTCTATGGACTCAATAATGCGAGTCTATTGACCAAGTCAAGCTCTATCACATTTTCTTTAACCTTTTTGACTTCCTGTTTCCTTTCACACCAAAACAATCTTTTCGTTCATTATCATTTCTTTGAAGGAAAACCAGTTGTTTACTCGTGTAATACAGTGCTAGATAAACTTAATTGTAAAAAAGAGACACCCAAACCAGTGGTATTCGATTTATAACTAAATCAAATAGCAAATAGCAAATAGATGAAACTGTTAATTTTAAGATTAAAGACCCACTGCCATAATTGCTGCTTTTTCAAAATTTCCATGTATTTCGATACCCATTAAACAATGTACATGCAATAAGAACCTAAAACAAATCTGATTTACGAAAAACATTAACATCTATCTTATTATAGTAATAATCGCACAAAAGAGCAAAATGAGTGATTTTATGAGAAACTGGTGGAAATCCCTGCTTCCATCTAATGCAACTCAGACCCTAACAAGCGAAGGAACAACAAACCTGTAAATTTGATTTGCAGAGCGCCAACATCAACTGATATACAATCCTAATCACCATCTACAGTCTCTATGCTATGAAACATCAACCAAACACCCTTAATGGAGTGTGTTCATTTGGAGGTATTAAACAATAATTAATAAAAATGAAAATAAAATTAAGTGTTTGGTATTAAGTAATAATCAATGAGAATGAAAATAATCCCCCCGAGTGTCCACAAATGTAATGTTGTATTCTCTTATATCATCCCTGAGTGTCCACATTAAAAGAAAACAAATTTGGCTTTGTAAAAAGGTAACAGATCACACATTTTGTTAAGTATGTAGTATTTATATATGACAAATAGAACAAATAAACTCACACATTCTTTTCACCTTTTGTGAGGTTTGAACCCTTGACCTTCTAGGAAGCCAAAAATTCACATATCTCTAAGCTAAATGCCCTTTGGTTCACGCATTTATTTTGGTTTGTATTAGTTCATTGGCACATATATAATAACATGTGTACCTTGAGCATGGATATTTCTTTATGACATTCTATAAAGTGTGTGTAATACCCATCGCCAACAAATAATAACATGTGTACCTTGTTGATTATATGATATGTATATTGTTGTAATAAGCGTGAAATTTGTTGGAAAGGTTAATTAAGCGAGAAAAGAATATATATATATATATATATATATATATAATATGCAGGTACAAAGATTAACATGCTTAACAAAAGAAAATGGATGTGGTAAAATCTATACCTTGCGAGGCTTTTCTTTTGGTAAAAAAAATCATGAAACATCAAATTTGATCCAAAAAATACACTATCAAAATTACCCTCTTTTCCGGCGGACAAATCCGCCGAAATTCGTCGGAAATTGGGTTTTCCGGCGGATTTCCGGCGGATTTGTCCGCCGAAAAAGAGGGTGCCGGTGATTTATTTTCCGTCGAGTTTTCCAGCGGATTCTTTACTTTTCCGGCGGATTTCGGCCGCCGAAAATCTTTCGCCTGCTTAATTAAGAAATGTGGTTTAACTTAATAAAAAAAATTAAATAAATTTCCGATGGATATATCTGCCGGAAATCCGCCGGAGTCTTTTCTCGCCGGAAAAAACTTAATTAAATAAGATTTTCAAAAAAAATAAAAAAAATTTACCCGCGGCCGGATCCGCCAGAAATCCGCCGGTTGTATTTTTCTTTTTTAAATCAGATTTTCAAAAAAATTAAAAAAATTTACCGGCGGCCGGATCCGCTGGAAAAAGAATTTCATTATAAAAATTTTATTTTTTGTTTATTTTTCAATAAATATTTAAATCCTGTAAATCTGTAAAAATATGGATAAAACTAAAAAATTAAAATGCAACCAAATATCATACATTGATTAAAGTAAACAATTGTTACAAAACATATACAATTTAAAGTATCACACAATGTTACAAACAAACTAAATTGTTCCAAATAAACAAACAATATTCAATTAGATGGCGGTGAGAATTGTGATTGACGAAGTTCGTTAACCAAAGCAGTCATATCATTCATTTGTTTCAGAAGTTGCTCCTCCACCGTCCGTCGACGCTGATTTTCTTCTTGTAAATCCAGAACTTGGGCCTCTAAGTTTACAATTTTCTATAAAAATAAATAAAATGTTATAATATTTAATATGATTATTTAATATGAATTATAAACTAGATCGATAAACATCATCAAAAGAAAAAAAGACACATACCCGCTGTTCCGAAGACGATGAACCAGCTTCCGTGTAGTTGYCGGTCAAGACACAATTGGGATCTTGGTTGTACCCAAACCCAAATGGACGACCTTTTTTGCTTCCCCCAACCGCTTGCTCCTACAGCTCTTTATCAACTAAGGGATAGGTAGAGGATCATCCGCCGGAAATGACAAATTTTTTAAAAAGATTATTTAATTATCCGACGGAAAATTGTTAATTTTTTTTTTAAATTTAACAATTTTCTGCCGGAAATCCGCCGGAAATGGTAAATTTTTTTAAAAACATTATTTAATATTCCGCCGGAAATCCGCCGGAAAATTGTTTATTCTTTTTTTAAGAAAATTTTTTATTTGCCGCCGGAAATCCGCCGGAAATTGTTATATTTTTTAAAAAAAATATTTATTTATCCGCCGAAAATCCGCCGGAAAATTATTAATTCTTTTTTTAAAGAAAAAATTAAAATATCCGCCGGAAATCAGCCGGTAAAATGTTGTAATTAGATGTAAATTCAAAATTAAACTGAATATTTAAAAAAACCGCCGGAAATCCTTGGTGGTCAATGAAATGTTGACTTTTTTTGTGTCCGCCAGAAACGGCGCCGGAAATGATCAGTTTTCTAGTAGTGATACAACATAATCAAATTATTCAAACTTACCTAAAGTTGTCTATCAATTTACTTGACCTAATTCTCTTGGGATGCAATATCATATAATATAAACACATTTAACCAACACAGAGGTCTTAAGAAAATCAAACAAAAAAAAAAAAAAATCAAACAAGGCATAAAACAGAAAAAAATAGAGCGCACATGTACACATGAACAAGGAGATAAAGAGGAGAGAATCGAATTTGCACGGTTGAAATGCAAATTTGAAGTTTGCACAGTGTGAGAATCAAATACGATGGGAACACATCCTGGAACAAAATAAACCTAATAATCAAATTCATGGAAACTCCAAATTATGAAACTTCAAGTGAAAAGATGGCATCCAGACAACTAAAGATAGGAACTTCAGTAAGGCACACAAACACAAATCTAAGTACTTCAATGGACAAATTACTCCCAAATGTGTATCCTGTCTTACCAAGACTCAAATAAAGTCTCGAAAAGTGAGTGAAAACAAAAGATTAGCTCCATACATTCTAACCCAAAAAAGTTAAATAATATTGGTTAGAAAGGATTTAAAGTAAAAAAACTCCTAAATCAGTTTTAATGTTTTCAAACCCCCTCCCACTCCTCGGCGCATTATAGTCATCTACTCTATCGTTGCTCATCGCCGCCATTAGCTCCATCCATTGATTACCCCTTTTTTTATTGTTTTCTTTTGATATGTCTATACGTGCTCCACTAAATTATTGTAAAAATGGGAGAATCGAAAGACAAATTAAGAACATATCAATAAAAGAGAGATTGATGGCAAGAGCTAGCGGTGGCGATGGGTGGTATGGAGAACGGATAACAATGGGGCAACAAGGAGTGGCGAGGGGAAGCGATCGATGTTGTTGTGTAGGGGGTTTGAATGACGTAGGATTTGGGAACGATAAAACTAATTAATTTTTTTTGTTAAAAGAATGTAGGTAACTAAATTTTAAAGTTCAATGGTTTATTTATTGAAAAAATATATTTATGAACTTAATTCTTCAAAATTAAAAAGTTTTAACGATTTTTTCATTAAAAAAATTATTAAGCAACTTAATTATTCAAAATAAAAATATCGTAATTTTTTCTGAACTTTTCCCTTCTTCTAACCTCATATATTTGGATTGTATTTTTGTTTATTTTTCTAGAAAAATGATTTTGATATTACATAATTTAAACCGTGATCACTAACTGATTAATTTAAATTAGACATACATATAAAGTTTTTTTTTTTTTTGAAAATTATATTTAATTAATATTTGAATGAAGCAAGCATATATGCTTGTTAGCACATGATGATATGTTGGAACCACACAATATCATCATTACTTAGATCTTAATTTAATCTTTTCTAATATTAAACATTAGCCTCTCATAATTATATTCTCATCTTCCTTTATTCCCTTTCCTTTTTCAACTTCAAACCCATTAACATGAATATGAATTTGAATTTACTTTTCAATTTCAAGACAAATCATAATAGAAACCTTGATTTTATCATCCAAAAAGGATCAACCATTTTATTTCCGACCTTGGACACTACGACGTATAATAGACAGAAGATTGTTGTGACATATTATCCCATATATAGTGTCATCTAGCTTTCTAACAAATTGGTGTTTCGTTCGATTCTATATAAAACTATTCTCCATAAACCTACAAGATTCTCTTTCTCTCATATGCTACGCTTATGCTTTTTGAGATATTGGAAATATGTTTTCCTCAAACAAAGATTTGTCAACGGTATCCGATTCAAACTCAAGCTTTTCCACTTTGAAATACCAAATCGCTAATTAACACGATTCCTAGTAATTAACTAGATTATATTTTTACCGTCAACACCATGTTTAGGTATTTAAATGTAAATCAAATTTTTTAGTAAGTGTGTAGTTGGGAGGTCATAGCGAACCATCAATTCTCAAACAAATAAGAGTAACGAGAAAACCATGTTCAAGGTTTTGGATATACGTTTTGCTTAATTAGTAATTGATTAGAATTGTATATATATATATGATTTTTGGATATAATCTATAGTTTTTAGATAATTAATGGAAGATAAGTTATACCTTATCATATATGATTTTTTAGTTTGAGTGTTGGACAATGGAAAAGTAATAAAATGCTTTCTATTACTTTGATAGATACCCCCATCAACAACACTCACCAAAAAAAACACCAACTTTATTCAAGAAACCATTTTTGACAAGAAAATAATAAAGATTTTGACAAGAGGAGACCAACAAGAAAAAGAAACCAAACAAAAGGAAAAGAGAATTCATATATCCCCACATCAAAAGCACATTCTTTCAACTCTTCATTCTTTGCTTTAATCCACTTTCCAACCAACTTCTTGCTCTCATGGTTTTCCATTAGTTTTTAAATGTCATGTTTCATCTTCTTTCTTCTTTTATATCCGTAAGGGATCGATGACACTAAATCCAATCAAGATTTCTCTACTTGATCGATCAAACTCCCTCAAGATCTCTCTTTCGTTGCTTTACTTCGCTTGATCCATCTTATCTGTTGTGATTCTTCGATATATACCCGTCTGTTTCTTCTGCTTTATGTGTATATATATTCCAAGAGTTCATGTTTTCTCGAACTTGAGTAATCAATTAAAGTTCATATAATTCTTCATCCTATATCTTGCTTTTCTTCACCTCCTTCATTTGCATGGAATTCTCTTAGATTCTATTTGTTATACAAGTGTTTGTTGATTACAAGTTTGTCAATTATGGGATCTGTGGAAAGTCCAGTAACATATGTGCCTTATATGAACAATCAAGATTGTTCCAAAAAGATTTGCAACTTATACTGCCAACAATGGTGCAACTACGTCGTCCTTCCTTCTCCTCCACCGCCTGCAGGGTTTTCTGACGATGATGCGGCTGGTTCTGCTCTCTCACCTCTTGTGATCGTGATCATTGGTGTTTTTGGGAGTGCCTGCCTTTTGATTAGTTACTACATTATAATATCCAGACTTTGTGTCGTAAACAATCATGATTCATCTGAATCTTTGAGAAGGAGAGGGGTTCAGAATCATGAAACCCTGGATTCAGTAATGGATGAGGATGAATTTAACATCGACGATGATCCTTTGAATCTTGGTCCTTGGCATGTTCCAGGTAAGGGTTTGGATGAGGGTGTGATCAATTCAATTAGGGTTTGCAAGTACAAGAAAGGAGACAACTTGGTTTCTGGTACGGAGTGTCCAGTTTGTTTAGGAGACTTTCAAGAAGACGAGAGTCTTAGACTTTTGCCCAAATGCCGCCATGCTTTTCATGTTTATTGCATTGATACTTGGCTTACAAGTCATTCAAACTGCCCACTGTGTAGAGCTAATGTAAGCTGTGCCAATGCCAAGTCACATATCTTACCTCCTCCCCCTCCACCACCGCCGCCNTTTTGTCTTTGTCTAATATCGGATTTGTAGGACCTAATGTGAACGTGGGGCCGAGATCCGCCGGGACTGTGACGCCGCCCCCACCGCCACCGCCTCCTCCACCCGAGGTGTTTCCACCTAGGAGCTGGGTTTCTAGTGATTTAGGAGGACGCGATGCTGTAATCGAGATTGGAGAAGGCGCAGGTGGTGAAAGGGAAGTCAGGAGATCAGTATCTATGGGTTATCTGTGCCAAACGCAACTTTCGGTAGCAGATATTTTGTTCGTTAAGAATGAAGACGATGAAATGGAATGCGGATTTGGAGAGGGTGGTGGATCATCAAAACAAGGTTTGAAATTGGAAGAATGTGGACATGAATACGATCTGGAATCAGTTTTGAATAATGAAAATAACGTATGTTTGAATAATTGTGGTGATGATATGATGAAAAGATCATTTTCTAGTGGGAGGTACTTCTTGATTAGAGGGTGGAAAGGGAAGAGCTTAAAAGTTTCTAGTCATGTGCCAACTTAATTACGCTTTTCTTCTTAATTCAAAAAAGATTTCCATATTTGAAGGATCAATTTTGTTAGATATATTATTGCTAATTAATTTTATGTGTTTAGTTCTGATCACAATAATCTCATTCCATCAATTTTCTTGCTTAATCAAGAAGTCAGTGCTTATTACGATTTCATTCCTTAATCAAATGAAATTACATATATACCCATGTGTGACAAATAGTACCATTTCTTAGATTTATGATGATTGTCCTAGATTTACCAGGTAAGCAGTTACCGTGATAAGAGTCGTCACTCTCATTTATTGGGTAAGACTCTTGGTCATTGTTTCACTCTTATCGGGTAAGATTCTTGGTCATTATCATATTAATCGGGTAAAGTAACATGATTTGGTGTTCACTTACCCAAGTTAACGTTTGATAAACGAACCCAATATAATAACTAATAACAACTTTTTAGCTTGTTTTTCAAATATAACATAACATTAATTAATTGATTATTATTCTATCGTTATATTATTTTATAAGTGATAAGCTCATTTACTAAAAAAAATGTGTTATGATGGGCTGGTAATGGTATCAATCAATGACAATAAGCATGAAATTTTGGCCCAAAATACGAAGAGTCTCCTTACCATAACCCATTTAGTAGTTTGTTGGGCTGGGCCTACACATTCCCAAGTCCCACTACACATTTATTATTGTGTTATGATTTGGTAATTAAAATACGGTAGAATGAGAATTATTATTTTTATTCCATTCTATTATATTATTAAGGATTTTTTAAAATTAATTAATAATAAAAAAATAAAAAAGAAACTTGATAGCCACCTAATCCATCGTATTATATCATCTTTCTATTGTACGTCTTTGTAGACGAGGAGTGAGAGACAGAAACAAAAAAAAAAAGTATTCGTTCCCCTCAAAATTGAAGGAAAATGATTTTTAACCAAATCTATTATAATGATTGATTGATTTTTTGAAACCAAACATCATTTTTCATTATGGGTGTTCGCGGTCCTGTTTGGACGATTTAACTTCTCAAACCACAAACCAAACCGTAATGGCGGTTTATAAAATTTTCAAACCGAGCGGCTTGACATCAAGTGCCCAAACCGGTCAAACAAAACTACAAAAGACGGTCTGGTCTGACCGGTTTAGATGGTTTGGGTATTTATTGGACTTTAAATATTAAACTTAAAACACATATATAATTTAGAATTTTAGATTAAATATCCATTTTAACAAAACAAAATACCCAAACAAATAAATGTAAAAATTAAGTAGCTCTTGAGTCCAAAATCCAAGCAATCCAAAGTCCAAACAAATAAATATATAATACATATTAGAAAAGAAACAAATTAACAAAGTTACAAGTCCAGTGTGAGTATTGCGTAACAAAATCCACGATTTTACAACATTCAATTCTTGAGTCTTAAGTTCTCGACCAATCAAAATAGAAGCCAAATTTTAGTTGATTGAATCACTTGGTTGATGTCTTGATGATGTGCACCGAAATCAAACCATGGATTAGGAAAGATCGATAGATTGATAGAGTTCTTGAGGAATTTCAAAATTTGGAGGCCGTCAATGTCAAAATGTATCGATATGTTTACTGGTTTAGGGGATTTTTAGGTGTTGATTCATTTGGATTTGATTATGTTAGATGTTAGGCTTTATGTGTGTCTTAGAGATATATTTGGGTCATAGCTCATAAGTTAAAAAAATTGGACTTGTTAATACTAAAATAAATAAATAAATATATGTTTTTATGTATGTATGTATTTGGCGGTTGGTTTGGCCCAAACTGCCCAAAAAAGTTTCCAGACCGTAGACTGGACCGGACCGTCCGATTTTGCTATTTTCCAAACCAGACCAAACCGAACCGCTCAAAGAACCAAAGACGGTCCGGTTTGTCTTGGTTCGGCCGGTTTGAGCGATTCAACGGTTTTTTTGAAGACTACTATTTTTCATTCCATAATTGAACCAAACATAATCAATGATTATCATTTCCATTCATTACCTTCTAATACCCCCAACCAAACACACACTAAATATATTTGCGTAATGCATCGTATACTATATATGTATTCTGTCTTTCTCAATTTTATTTCACAAATTATGAGGTTTTGAAAACAAAGAAGTATTCTATTAGTTATCAATTTTATAAAACATTTTTATCGTATTAATACGATTTTAATGCTTATTTTAAATTTAAACAATCTTATCAATTGGTTGTACGTTAATTTTATAAATTCATACCTATAAAAAGTTATAGACATATAATAACAAACTATATATATTATATAATATAGTAAAATATTGTATGAATATATATCTATACTATATTATAAAGTATTTGATAAAAACTCTTAAAACCATTTTTTATGAATGAAGTACCGTATATTGATGAATACTAGAAGAGTTCTCGCACAATGCAGCGATATACATCTTGATTTTAATATTTCATTTTATTTTTTATCTCAATCGATGTTATAATATAAACTTATGTGATTTTGAAAAAACGATGATGTTTTTATTTTTGAATAAAATCTAAATTTTTGAAGATATCATAAAAATTTGACAAAATTATATCGATATTAGTATCAAATTAACTATTTAAAATTCCTCATTTTTTGTGTAATTTTTTAAATCAATTTTTAATTATAATTTAATTTAAGTTCAATAACGAAATAATTTATATTTGGTTTAGTAATATAATTTTCTTATAAAGATAATAGTTAATTATTTTGTTAGAACTCGATAATTATTCTAATTATATTTTAGATTATTTATATTTAAAAAATGAGATGTTTATCCTCTATTTGATTATGTTTATCCGCAGTTAGTTACACGATTCAAACATGAAGCTTTAATAAGTTGTACTTATACATAATTTATTTATACATAAGTAATATGCATCAATATACAATACTTCATCATACAAAATTGTTTTTAAGATATTTTGTCAAATGCTTTATAATATAGTATAGATTACTTAAAATTCAAGATTATAAGTAAATTGTGCACAATTATAACTTATTAAAGCTCAATTTTTGAATTCGTGTAACTAACTGCGGATAAACATAATCAAATATAGGATACACATCTCATTTTAAAATATAAAAAACCTAAAATACAATTAGAATAATTATCGAGTTCTAACAAAATAATTAATTATTATCTTTATAAGAAACTTATATTATTAAACCAAATATAAATTATTTCGTTATTGAACCTAAATTAAATTATAATAAAAAAAATTGAATTACAAATTACACAAAAGATGAGGAATTTTAAATAGTTAATTTGATACTAATATCGATATATTTTTGTCAAAATTTTATGATATTTTTAAATTTATATTTTATCAAGAAATAAAAGCACGATCACTTTTTCAAAATCACATAAGACCATATCTCGTTAAATACACGAAACCCTTCTAGTATATCTAAATACATTAATGATTGAAATCTTGAAAATCGGTTTCAAAAATTTGACTGATAAAAAACTAAAAATAAATTTAAATAATTTTTAAATTATAAATAAACTAGTTGTGTACCTGCGCAATGCGGCGGGAGCCATGAATTTTAACGATTTT